TGAATAGTGATATATCAACAGTAGAGTAAATAAATAGAATAATTTATAACCTCTAGTAATAGTTTAAAAAGTTTTTTGTCGTTATCAGCCTAAGAAGTTAATTTTGTTAAACCAACGAACAATACAATATTTTGCATCTGGGCCCTTGATTACTATTAGCTATGCCACTGGATTAACAGTTTCTTTCATCTTACAATTAAATTACATATAAATATAAAAATTTGCGCGTTTTTAAACTATTAGGCATTCTTATTTAAAAATCGCATTTTGAATTTCAAATGACTTGTAAACTAACTTTCAAGAAAAATCCATGATTACTTTCAAATAGTTTGTTCTACTGTTGTGCCTGCGGTATTAGCTAGATGTAGAGTGAATTAGAATTATAATAAATTAATAAAAGTCTTTCCCAAAAGAAGCATAATATTATAAAGAAAAAACAAATTCGTCATTAATAAGTAAACTCAAAAAGGAAAAGCATTGCTTTTTCTAAAATCACGAGATCGGGTGTTTTTTTTTCAATACTCCTTTTTAACTTACGTGGGCGTTATAAGCGCACTGTTAACTAAAGGTGCATATACATTCGGTTGAAGAACAGAAAACGAACTTCACCTCCCTTAGTTTAGTTCTGAATGTAAGGGAAAGTTCGTGAAGCGAGATTCCCGCAGTGGAAAGGGTAACCAAATTGAGTATAAAAGATCCCACGAAATAGTTATGTACAATAAAAAAAACAACACAGAATGGAATTTGCGACATTCCACCTACTCTGACAAGGAAGAGGGAAATTGGCTTGAACGTTTGTTTGCGAGATTCGGTCAATTATAGTTTGCTTCTCGCGATTCGCAGTGGAAACTAATTTCAGTATAACAGTCTCACGGGATCCATAGCAAAATCAGCCTCCGACATTCCATCTACCCTGACAAGGAAGAGGGAGGCTAGCTTGATTGGCTATAGCGAGATACGATATATACGATAGCTACTACGGACACTTGACCGTAACGTTGTCGCCCGTCTGCTTCCAGATGAGTTAAGTGGAGTCAGCAACTAGTGGCCGTTGTTGTCCGCTAAACTGTTGGTTTGACCCTCCATTTCAACTTCTCTGCACCTGACGAGGAACTTATCTCAGCCCCACGCTATGCCTTTGGTTGCCGGCCCGTTAGAATCCTTCGGCTAACACTAGAGATGATCGACAAAGCGAAGGCAGTAGCCACTGACCACTTTTATGACTTTTGTTTCCCTTTGAAATATCTGGTCCTTTTTGAACTAGGTCACACTTAATAAGCTTGCTTTATGGTTTCTCGTACAGTTTTCGTCAACGTAATTTTGACGCATATATAGTTTATCTCTAATTTTATGTTTATATGATTACACCAATGTTGTAAATATTTTTCATTTATTCCTGTACGGTACTGGGGATTAGGTAGGTGAACGACCAGCTCAATTTTGGTTTAATCAAGTTTTATAGCTTCATCTGTTTTAACAGTTGATTAGGACAGGCTCCTAATAAAGTAGGTATAGTTACATCCAAATTTCGCAACGTAGATGCAATCAAATTGGCCTGACCGTGGAGACGGCAGGAGTTTGGTAGAAAGGCTCTCTCGTTTGTACTCTGATTAATTCAGATGAACGTGTAGCTACCGTATAAATAACGACGGTATCTATGGGGTGTTCGGAAAGTCATTTCGTTTTTTTTTGTGGAAATGAAAGACAGTTTTCGTATAATAAACAAATACTTTATTAAATTATATATTGACCGTTCTGGTCCAACACCTTTTGCCATCTTTCTGGTAGTAGCATAATTCCACGCTCATAAAATTTTTGGTCTTTGCTGGCAAAAAACTGATCGAGGAGGTTTTTGACCTCCTCATTTGAGGTGAAGGTTTTACCGTCTAAAAAATTTTGGAGTGACCGGAACAAATAATAATCCGATGGTGCCAGGTCTGGAGAATATGGTGGGTGTAGCATTGTATCCCATTCAAGCTGTAAAAGCTTTTGGCGAGTGACCAAACTTGTGTGAGGTCTCGCGTTGTCTTGGTGAAACACTACACCTTTCCTGTTGATTAGTTCTGACCTTTTCTGTTGAAGTGCATCATTCAGTTTGTCCAGCTGATGACAGTAGACTTCCGAATTAATCGTTGTGTTATCCGGTAAAAGCTAAAAAAAAACGATTCCTTTAAAATCCCACCAAACAGACAGCATCACCTTTTTTTGGTGAATATCGGCTTTGGAAATGGTTTGAGCCGGTTCATCTTTTTTGCTCCATGACCTCTTGCGTTTGACGTTGTTGTATACAACCCATTTTTCGTCCCCAGTGATGATGCGCTTCAAAAACGGATCATTTTCGTGACGTTTGAGAAGCGAATCGCAGACGTCAATGCGGCGACACAGATTTCTCTCTGTGAGAACATGGGGAACCCATACATCGAGCTTCGAGGATAATCCCAGGCCTTTCAAGTGGTCATAAACTGTTGAATTTGATAAATTTAACCTCAATCCGATCTCACGTGTTGTTATTCGCCGGTTCACATCAACTAATGCCTTTATCGCGTCTTTATCAGCTTCAACCGGCCTTCCCGAACGTGGTGCATCTTCGACATCAAAATTGCCGGATCGAAATTTAGCGAACCAGTTCTGGCACTGGCGTACTGTCAACACACCTTCTCCATACACATCAGTCAATTTCTTTCTGGCTTGAACAGCATTTTTACCCTTTCTGTAGTAAAACAGTAAGATATGTCGAAAATGCTGCTTATCGCTCTCCATATTTAGAAGGGCACCAACCAAAAACTACTGCGTAGAATTAATTGGAATTTTTCACACACAAGCCTTGCTATATGAGCTCTCAAAGCATATAAAAATTATACGGCTTAAATGTGAAGTTAGGTGCAAAAGAATACAATTAAATCCTCTGTCGGGAAAAACGAAATGACTTTCCGAACAACCCGATATTTATTCAGTTGAAGGTATCTGATCCGAGTTTTTACGCCGCTAGCAGCTTTGCCTTTGTAAGAGGTCTGATTATTTTACCATTCATTCACAGTTTGTCCAAATTATAAGGTGAACTCTCGACTAAAGGACTCTTAGTTACAGAGGAGGAAGTCCATGTAAGTTGACGTACTTTTGCTGTTCTGAACAGTCATAATAATAGATACGATGACCTTCAGTGACATGTATTGACCAATCTTAAATATAGATAGATGACCTTTAGTGGCATGCATCGACCCTATATACAGATACGATGACCTTGATATATTTATATATAAACAAACAACCAACCATTACTCTTCGCCCGGACACGTGATAAATGATTAAGTTCAGACAACAGGTACCATAACATGTACACCGAAGGTAGTCCATGGGCTTACAGCAGGTGTGGCTATAATCAAAGTTATAGTCCCGACTTCTTTTCTCCTTGATCAAGACTAACATGCAGGAGTGTAAATTCTTATGAGTTTATTGAAAGGTGCTTGTCGGCCACTTTACTGGTCTTCTTGACTTGTCATACATTATAATATTATTTAACTGGTTTGTTAAGGTTATTGTGTTTTGTTGGGGTTTCCCCAATCCTAGCAATAAATGTTGGATCATATTGGTCCCCCACAAAAAAATATACAAATAAAGGTATTACCTGCATTTCTGTGTTTTCTTCGTTAGCATATATATTACTTGTACGGAACTCATGAAAGAATCTGAAACAGTTACTAATATGTCACATAGTGTTCGTAATTTCCAGAATTATATTTTTCATCTTCTTGGAATTGGGTCTGCGTAACTTTCAAAACGCGGAACTATTATATGCAATTGCATTTGTTATGGTTTCGGGCAGGGGCGCAATAAGGGGGGTCCACGGGTGCCTGAGCACCCACTCGATTGGGTTGGGCACCCAGTCAATTCCAGTCGATTCAGATAATAACCCAACTTGAAAGTTCTGTTCAAATAGTTCAAGCTCGTAAATGAGCAGCGGAACTCGATCTTTTCAGCTTATACGCACTCGCAGTATATAAATATTTATAGTATTATGATGGGAGCACCCAGTCAAACTGTACACGGAAGCACGGTCAATGTGGGCTGAGACAAAATTCTAAAAGTTCCATGTGACGATGAAAAAAAACACTATGTGGAGTTCTATAAAGAGCAAAGCTAAATGAGGAAAGAAAAAAGAAAAGTGAAATCCGGGAGGGAGATCATGTGAGGTCCACGAAGCGGGCGTGAAGCCAGGAGAAAGAGGTGATCCATTGGTATATATGGTTCGAGAATCGTCGGGTACACCATATACTGGCGTTGGGTTGACGATTGTAACTCTGTACCGAAACCTCCTCTTAGAGAACGAACCACCGAATCCACATACAGCGTATAGTTTCCTGAAGAAGTCAAGGAAGAGTGAAGGTACGACCGTTTAACTTAATCTCCCCCAATCGCTCGTGGCTCTTATGTAATAATTTGTGTTTTACGCTTATTAATGTTCGTTTGTCTTTAGTTTAAATCTTTCAGCATAATAAGTTGATTTGACAATGGTTGTGCTGAATATTGTAATGTTCGTGGGTTTAACAAAATTAACTTCTTAGACTGATAACGACAAAAACTATTTATTTACACTACTGTTGATATATCACTATTCACTGCGCTATTTATTTCACTGCTATCACTATCAATTTATTTCTGGATTCACTTCTGCACGGTCAATTTATTTCTACTTCTTTTCGCGGTCGTCTCTTCCTTTAAATACTCTTTTGTTTACTTTCTTGAGACTTCTGGAAACATCCGAATAGTTTATTTTTTCATTGAACCGTTTAATTGCTTTCCCGACGACACACATTTACAAATACAGCGCACATGAAGAAAGGCGCCCGCGGCTAGTCGGAGAATCGATAAGCCGTTCACGCACAAACACACTCGTGCTCGCTACACTGCCCCCTCCAGGAGGACGAGTATGTTTGGAGCACGAGTGTGTTTGTGTGCGATCGGGCACACGTGTACGTGAACGGCTTATCGAATCGCCCACTAGCCGCGGGCGCCTTTCTTCATGTGTGCCGTATTTGTAAATGTGTGTGTCATACCTGCGTTCGGAGAAAGCAGTTAAACAGTTCAAAGAATAAATAAACTATCCGGATGTTTCCAGAAGGCTCCAGAAAGTAAATAAAATAGTATTTAAAGGAAGCGATGAAAGAAGTAGAAATAAATTGACAGTGATAGCAATGAAATAAATTGCGCAGTGAATAGTGATATATCAACAGTAGTGTAAATAAATACTTTTTGTCGTTATCAGTCTTAGAAGTTAATTTTGTTAAACCCACGAACATGACAATATATAGTAATAAAAGAAAAACAGGTGTTTCAATAGCAAACTTCCTCTACGCCACTCGACCCCTTCGCAACTACAATACACACACAACGTAATTATTAAAGGTGCTACTGACGATCACGATAATTCCCAATTTTCTCGATTAAATAAATAAACAGTTTTGAACTTTTATTTGTGTTTTATTTGTTTACCTGTCCGGCACCAGTTTTGACGAGTTCGTACTCGACTCGGGGCAGACCGGTTACAATATATGTTGACATACTTTTGTTGTTCTGAATTGCCATAAGAAATACACCTACGATGACCTTCAGTGACATGTATCGACTAACTTTATATTAGATACGATGACCTTAAGTGACCATGTATCGACTAACTTTATATTAGATACGATGACCTTAAGTGACCATGTATCGACTCAAAGAAGACATAGACCCCGATGATCTTAAGTGGCATGCATACACCCCTATTTACAGATAGGACGAGTTTCAGTGGTATATATTGCCCAACCTTATACGAGGGTGGATTGATAAGTTTCCGGCCTGACCAAGAAAAACAAGGTTTTTAAAAATTTTTTTTTTTTATTTCTCAACATAATCTCCTCCAAGGCTGATACATTTCTCATAGCGGTGTTCCAGTCTATTAATGCCATCTCTATAGACTGATTCGTCAAGCTCCTCAAAATAACCATTTACAGCTTCGATTACTTCTTCATTGTCCGCAAATCTCTTACCGCCA